ACTGATTTTAATATAAGATTTTATCTAGAACAAAGCATTGTTCTTAGCAGTATGAATTTTATTACTCAATTAACACTGAGGAGTTCAATGATACCATAAATTTGACCATCTATGAACTCTACGTATGTACTATTGTTCATTTTTAGAGAGGGGGTATCCAAGTTTTATTTCTCATTCTGTCTTACCTTTTTGGGATCTTGGACAATTAGAAAAGACAGAGAAAAAACATTTTTTTTATATAAAAAATAGTTTATCAATCAAGTAGACAAGACAGTGGATGGTTTTTGGTAGAAAACATCATATATCTATTTTGATTGTTAAAATTGGTAAGAATACCCGTGTTTGGTTATATGAATGTATTATCTATTTCCAACATTAATGATATTGGCTTAGAAAAAGAATAAAAGACACTTCTTCCTATCATCATTTTTCCTTTCAAAAATCTTTCTACTCCTCTTCCATAGCAGCATCGATTCAAAACTCAAAAAATTATGTTAATTGAGCATGTCGTTTGATTTTCATTGATTCCGTTGATTTCCAGGTTGTGTTACCTTTCTCAAGCATTTCGATAATAACTAAATTAAGCAAAATAAGAATTTCATATATTTTGCATGTTGATTCAAAATCTGCTGTGACATTTTTTTAGCGAGAAGAAATTAATAATTATCACTTTTTTTTTCATCTAAAAAATTGAAATATAAAATTTTCTAGTCGAACCAAGTACTGTTAGTATTATGGTGCTTGATTTAGTCCCACATCGATTAGGATTGTGAGATGATGTTCTCTATTTTGTTATATAAGCAACCCTATGTAAAGTTTGAGATACACACAGAAATAAAAATTACTTCCTAGTGTAGTCGTGGACGTAGGCATACATATTTTAGCCGAACCACGTTAAAATTCTTGTGTCGTTTATTTTTCTCTCCTTCATTCTTTCCTTTATTATTGTCTTGTTCCTAACAATTGGTATCAAGAGCCAATTTTCTTAGTATGCTCTGTGGTTGCAGCTTTGTCCGATCTTCCACATCGAAAAAGATTTGGTCTTTTTCTTGGGAATCTCAGCTTAGAGAAGCGATGGGAGCTTTCTTCGAAAGCAGTGAGAGCAATGGCATTGGAAGAAGGAAAGGTGAGGATCGAGAAGTTCGATGGCGGTGACTTCGGGTTCCGGAAGATGCAGATGGAAGATTATCCGTATCGGAAGAAGTTGTATCTACCCTTGACAGGCGAAGCCAACCGACATGGAGCGATCAGAATGGGAGTTGTTAGATCGGCAGACGCTTGGTGTGATCCGGTCGACATTAGCCAAGAATGTTGCGTTCAACATCATGAACGAGAAGACAACCGTAGATTTGATGCGAGCGTTGTCAAATATGTATGAGAAGCCCTCTGCAGCCAATAAAGTGCATTTGATTCGCAGGCTAGTCAACCTCAAAATGGGTGAAGGTAACTCGGTTACTAATCATATTAGTGAATTTAATGCAATTATTGCGCAGTTGACATCAGTGCGGATAATATTTGATGATGAGGTGAAAACATTAATTTTATTATCATCTCTACCGGAAAGTTGGGGTGCAACTCATATCTGCGATTAGTAATTCCGCAAGCAATAACAAGTTGAAGCTTGATAACATCCGTGACTTGATCTTAAGCGAAGATGTTCGCAGGAAAAATTCAGTAGAATCTTTCAGTTCTAATTCAGGTTCAGCATTGAGTGCTGAAACTAGAGGAAGAAGTCGCCAGAAAGGTCGTAATCAAGGCCGAGGCAGATCAAAATCCAGAGGGAGATCACAAGCAAAAGTCCGGAATGATATCACTTGTTGGAATTGTCAGAAAAAGGGCCACTTTTCAAATCAGTGTAGGGTTCCAAAGAAGGACAACAACAACAACAAGAAGCAAGATGATGATCAATCAGCAAATGCAGCAAATGACAGTCAAAGTGCTATTTGTCTTGCTAAAAATCCAATCCTTCATTCCAGATGTAAGCACATTGAATTGAAGTATCATTTTATCAGAAACTTGATAAATGATGGAGACTTGAGTTTGTTGAAGATTCCAGGTGCAGAGAATCCCGCTGATATGTTGACCAAGACTGTTACAACAACTAAGTTGAGGCTTTGCATTGCCTCAACTGGCCTTCGAGCAAATTGATGATGAAGGCACTACACTAGGTGGTAACGTAAATCAAACTCCAAGTGGGAGAATTGTTAGTATTATGGTGCTTGATTTAGTCCCACATCGATTAGGATTGTGAGATGAGGTTCTCTATTTTGTTATATAAGCAACCCTATGTAAAGTTTGAGATACACACAGAAATAAAAATTACTTCCTAGTGTAGTCGTGGACGTAGGCATACATATTTTAGCCGAACCACGTTAAAATTCTTGTGTCGTTTATTTTTCTCTCCTTCATTCTTTCCTTTATTATTGTCTTGTTCCTAACAAGTACTACTTGAAGGATGGATGAAGCAGTTCTTAAATGCTGTGTGGTTGATTGTGAGAAAGACTTCTTAACTTCTCGATGAGGTATGTTTGTGTATGACAAATAACTAGATGCCTAACATTTAAAGTTGGGATAAAAATTTCAGTCCAAAAGTCCTACAAGTTAGGGTAGCCAAAGCCCTTGTTCCCAACTATGAACAGACAAAATGATACTCGTGAATTGTAGACACATCCTCGAGAATTGTAGGAAGTGCACAAAGAAAGTGCCCTCTGTCCTTTCTTCACTACCAAACTCTCTATTATTGCATATATTACTGCTATTTGATCATACTGTGCTTTATTTATTGTTCTATTTGTGATGCCAAAAGCATTTTTGTATGTAATAGGTCATGGATAATAAAGACTATTAGAAGCTCTTATTCATACATAGTAAGCATCAAACTTTAAATTCACATCATGTTTACTAGTCTTTAGGTTCATTTCTGTAGTGTTTGAATGCAATGCAATGTCTTATTACTAGCACAAATATCAGAATATTTCAATCTTCATCACATGTTTCCCTCATCCCTAGACTTAAAAGCTATAATGCTAATACATTGTAGCCTATTAAACTAGACCAAAAGAAGAAGGAAAAGAAGTTTGAGTCCCTATTTGAAAGACAATTACTAAAGACAAGAGAAAGTGACATAAGAAAAGCTGAGTTACTCTCCTTTTTGTAGGTCATGAATTGTGCCTCCCAAATCTTTCAATTGGGTGGCTTTGTTGTCTCTAGTATTTGTTTCCACATCTTAAAAAGTAGTTTTCCATGAAAACTAGTCAACCTAACTCGTATCTATGTCAGTCTTTACTCTGATCGCAATAGTCCAAAAGAGATCAAACAATGTGCAACTTTGACTTTCACTTCCCTTGCCCCTCCTTCAGATTTAAATATAGAACTACTTTAGACCTTTCTTTATGAACTTTAGCAGACAACCACTTGTTTTAAAAACAAATTTTGGCTTAACTCACACGTCTTGATGGAATTGGATTTATCTCTTAAGTATAATTGGTGAAACATACAGCATTGAAAATTACACAATGATAAATAACAACCACATTATATATTATAATAGTACACAATTTAGCAACAAGTGCACACTTTACTGAAAAACACATTAGTATTGTGTCTGAGCTAATTAGCACGAGAAGTGAAAAACATTTAATTATGTTTTCATACCATAAACTGCTTAAATAGTTTAATCACTATTAATGAAACTTACATGTTGTCTGCCCGGACCAAAACGTTGAATAGTGGCTGCTTTTACGCATGTCTTTATCTTTTCCATTTCTTTATTAGCACAATAAACTAGGCTAAATGAAACTACATATGTTGTTCAATGTTCATTTCTCTCATATTTCCTAAATTCAACATGACAGAAGATGAATTATAAAACATAATGGGTTGATCTATGATGCCCCAAAAGCAATGCAAAAAACAAAGAGGAAAAGGACAGATTTTGGTGGTAGATTATTGAGTAATGGTATTATAAAGGCACACGGACTGAGATCTTTATGGTTCAGAAGCTCAGAGCTAAGGCTTTCAGTTCAGAGGCCCAGAATCACTGAGAGGCTTCTGGTAGTGAAATTATATGGAAGAGGGCATGTCAGACTTTTGTTTTAGAGGTGAAAATGTTGGTGGGAATAGAGGTAGTGCTACTGGCACCAAGTGTGGGCGTTGGAATCCCACAACTGAACAGGTTAAGGTTCTGACTCAACTGTTCAGTTCTGGACTCCGCACCCCAAGCACTGATCAGATTCAAAAGATCTATAATCAGCTCAGTTTTTATGGTAAGATTGAAAGCAAAAATGTGTTCTATTGGTTTCAGAACCATAAGGCCAGGGAAAGACAAAAGCGTCGCAAGGTTGATAAGGATGTGAATCGTAGTGAAAACTCTATCTCCATCAATTCTTTCACACAAAGTAAGTACCATATTAGATTCATTTGCATTACCACAATCTTTTTCAAACACCAAACATAACACAACTTGCTTGGTTGGTGGTCTAATATATGTTATTTGATTTGTTTCTATCAGCAGATTTTACACAGCTATATCACGTTTCTGAGCCTAAGAGAGTGATTGAGACCCTTCAACTCTTCCCCTTGAAATCTTTTGGTGAATCAGAATCAAAGAACAAGAGGATTCATGGAAGTGACTGCGGGGATAATACCATGTTTTCATACACAGAGGAGGAACAAATGGATCATCCACCATTAGATCTTTGCTTGAGTTTTATGTGAACATGGGAATCTTTTTGGGTTGGTGGTTAGAAAAGAGAAGGTTTTCTTTAATACACTCTCATTAGGTTTAGTAGCAGAAACGAAATGTATTTTGGAAAGTGAAAAAAAAAAAAAAAACTATGAATCTTGATATTAATATTTACCTAGTGATTTTTAGTTAAATATTGGAAATTCTTGGACATTATTCTCTGCATGTTCGTTCATGTTGGTTTCTTTTTTCTGTGAGTATACTCTGTTAGATTTAGATATTTTCAATGCTTGGGATGCTAATAACTCGCATCTTCATGAGAGATGTCACCTTGGAATGCTTAAAGGATACGAATAATGATAAGCGTAAGCGCGTTGTCGGCGTTTTGCTCGGTTCCACTTTCAAAGGCACCGTCGACGTTACCAACAACTACGCCGGTTTGGATCTGTCTTTCTCTTTTTTCCATTACCGCATCCTTTACTCTATCGTTATTGGAGTTGTTGCGAGGATTTATGCCCTAATTTTATCGCGGTAATGGGTAATAGTTCAGTCAATCCTTATTGGAGTTGTTACGAGGATTTGCGCCTAATTTTATCGCGGTAATAGGTAATATATAATTGTTGTGAGATCGTCCGAATTTGTTGATCCTGGAATTGGAATAATATAAAATTTCGACACTGAAACCTCCCTCGTAGTACTTAAATATCTTGAACATATCTGTACGGTGTTAATAGCTTAATCTTAAGAATTACATAATATAATTTTAATGTCTAGCTAGGTTTATTCAGCTTGGTTAGTATGATTCTTATTACCATGGAGACCTCAAAATGTTGACTAAGTACAAGAAAGCCAAGAGAGCATCATTTCGTTGATGAATTCTAGTAGATTTAATGGCTCTGTTTCTACTCCGTTGATCATGCGGGCACCTCCTAGCTAGGATCTTGATCTTGACAACATTGCTCACTAAGTTATATTATTGACAGTGCCGTTTGAAGAAGATGACAAGGATCCCAGCATCTGGTTTCTTGATCACAATTACCATGAATCAATGTTTTCCATGTTTAAAAGAATAAATGGTACGAGTTTGGAGAATTCTCTTTTTCCTTGATTTTATTTCAGTGGAGTATCTCTAATCTAATTGAACGCGTATTACAATTATTATTATTATTTTGGTTTATAGCAAAGGAGCATGTTGTGGGGTGGTACAGCACTGGTCCAAAGCTGCGTGAAAATGACCTTGACATTCATGGCTTATTTAATAGTATGTTATTGATCCAAAATCCTATGATAATAAGTGTTACACATAAAACTGTTGCAGCTATGTTCCAATCAATTTTTATCCAAATTGACCACACTTAAAACTGTTGCAGCTATGTTCCAAATCCTGCTCTGGTTATTATTGACGTTGAACCCAAGGAATTGGGAATCCCAACAAAAGCATATTATGCCGTGGAAGAAGTCAAAGAGGTAAAAATTAAGTCCTTTATATCTGTGATAGAAATTCTGTATTTCTGTTCTTATTTTTTTCAAAGTAATCCTGTTTTATATGATGGTGGGAGAGGAGCTAGCGTTTGCTCAACACTAAGTTAATAGTCAAAGAAAGTGACATAATTTGCTCTGAATACAGAATGCTGCCCAAAAAAGTCAAAAGGTTTTTGTTCATGTGCCATCAGAGATTGCAGCTCATGAAGTTGAAGAAATAGGTATTTCATGCTATTGAACATAAAACTGCTGTATTTTTTTTTTCTCTTTGATTTTGTTTGTTTATAATCTTTCTAAGTTGAAATTCTGATTTTTATCCATATAGTTGTGTAACCAGTTTGTCTTATTTTATTCTTCTTAACCCTGTGCAGGAGTGGAACATTTGCTTAGAGATGTGAAGGATACAACCATTAGCACCCTTGCAACAGAGTTTTTTTTTTCCCTTTTAATTTATCCATATTTATTAATTCCTTTCACTTTCTGTTCTTTTTTCTTGATAATTTTGATTTTGTTTTTCCACTGTAATACTTTTGTGGTACTTTTAAGCAAAAGAATTGCTGCCCAGTGTTGACAATGTAATGTTTACTTAGGTAAGTGCAAAACTTACAACGTTGAAGGGTTTTGGATGCAAGACTTAAAGAGATAAGGAGTTACCTTGACCTTGTTATTGATGGAAAGCTTCCATAAAACCATGAGATCCTGTACCATCTGCAGGTTTGTTTCTCATATTCTTAGTAAATGGCCCCATTATTTGGTTTGTTGTCAATTGGTTTAAGAACCTTTTGTTATTTCTTAGTTTAATTAAGAACCTTTTGTAAAAATCTTGCAAAAGATGTGATGTGAGATTCATGGTGGGAAGACATAATTACTTGGAATAATAGAAGTATTTTTTTCTTATGCTACATTATTCTTTCTCACCATTTCATTTCTAATTGCAATATTTCAGGACGTGTTTAACCTGTTACCCAATCTTAATGTTGCTGATCTTATCAAGGCGTTTGCAGGTTATGATTTGTAGACTTGTTTTTTTCAATATCATATTTTTCTATAATATCCCTTTTAAATTGTTGATCTTTTTTATGTAGTTAAAACAAATGATGCTGGTCATATACTTGTCGTCTCTCATTAGCAGTGTAATTGCACTCCACAACTTGATTAACAACATGGTTAGATACACTACCCTAAATTTTGCTGCAAGTATATTTTACTTTGTGATTTTTTATCATGTTCTGAAAATAGTAATTGTGGCAGGGTTGGAGATAAAATTAATCTTCCATTTTTATATTCAAGTTTTGTATTAGATATGCTAGGCACTTGATAAGATTAGGGGTGTTCAAGTGTTGCTTTGGATTTTTGGACTTGAGGAAAGTGAAATCCAAACTAATTAATTTTATTGGTTTGATTTTACATTTTTTTTAATTGCACAATTCAAACTAAAAGTTAGTTGGTATGGATCAATTAAGTCCACTTCTACTCAAATGTGCAAAAAATATTTTTAAAATAGAACGTACCTTATTTTGTCAAAAGAATTCATACATAATGATGTGTGAACTACATATTTTATTGTAATTAACTCACATTAACTAAATAATAGCAATTTATACACACAGACCCCACACACAAATTATACTATAAAATTCCATGTATAATTAATAATAAGAAATTTATGATATTAGTTTGATTCAGGTTGGATTCAATTAGGTTAAAAATAACCAAACTATTCACCATTGTGTTTGATTATTTTGATTCAAATTGAATTCAATTAGGTGAAAATATAAACCAATTTAATTGGTTCAGTTTGGATGTATCCAAACTAATGAACACATACACCTTACTGGGTACATAGATTATATGTATGTTATGAATGACTATTAAGTTTTTCTGGTGAAAGATGTTGGTAAATCATGTGTATACTGCGTTTCATGTCTTTATTTATTGGAAAAAGTTTGATAGACAACCCTCATTTTTTATAACAACAATTACACAACTCCATTTAATGATTAGTTTTTAATTATTTTTTACCTATTCATGATTATTATGTTAATACATGGAGGTGTCTATTAGATGTTTATTCAAAAGAGGTTGTCCATGTATCATCGTCCTTATTGGAATGTGATTTCAGATGCTCAACAAAGAGCATGAACGAGCAGAAAACGGTTGCAGTGCCGACTGCAACTGCATAAGTTTTGATGGATTTTGTGTGTCGGAGCTTAATGATCCATTTATGCCGTTACTGTGCTCCCATGTATTTTACTCTTCAATGCGTAGCCCATTTTCTTTTGTTTAGTAGCTTTGCTAACTACCCTTAAAAAATTTGATATTATAAACAAATTAAGATATGAGAAATGAATCGTTGCTCTTGTAATTTTTGCTATTCTTTAATTTGCCTGCATCCACTGAATCCTTTGTACTGTGTTGAGTTGCAACCTCATATAACATGGTATGATATAATAATTTATGGAGAAGATTGACCTAGGGCCTATGCGTATGACCTGCTAATATCTAAGTATCTGTGAAGTGGGATGGTAAATTATATAACATTGTTTTCAAATTTGGACTTGTCCGTTTAATTGAAAATTCTATTTTTTTTCTTTTGAAAAATCAGATTTTTAATTAAATAGATATAAAATTAAAAAAAATTGATTAGATTTTGGTTAGATAACTTTTGATAAGGTAAAATATAATTTTTTTAAATCTTGAGACAATTTATTCATTGTAATTTATAATGATTATGTTACTAATTTATGATAGTAATTGGTTATATTTTTTTCTCTCTAAACAAATTATTTATAATGCATTTATTATATATTTATACTATTTAAAATATTATTTTATTAAATTTGATCAATTTTGTTTATTAAATCTATTTTTTGATGACGGGTTTAAAGACATTCTTATCTAGATTAAAACATTTTCATATATATCATAATTGTTTTCAAGAAGATATAATTTTCATAATAAAAATAAATAACAATAATACTGTTCAATATTTGATTATTTTGTTAAATAATTTTTTTAAAATATTTGATTATTAACAGATTCAAAATTTAAAATTAAACCTTATTAACGAAATAATTTATTATTTGTCACTTAAATCTTAAGGAGACTAAAATTGCGATACAAAAATTTTAAAATCAAAGTTATATATTTTGTGAAATGTATGCACCAAAATTATAATAAAATTATAGATTTTGTGAAATGTTTTTTTAGAATAAAACATCCTTAGTTAAATAGAAAACATTTTAGTATCATTAAATAAAAACAAAACGCCTATTCACAAATAAAAATTAAAGACAAACTAAATATAATACAAACCACAAATAGTTAATCCTACTAATAATAAGACATTGATGTCAGTCCATACTAAGGAGACTATATTGCCACCACACCATTCTTGATAGAAGTGGATGACCGAGTAGCGTGCAAAGGTGTAGAGGAAAATGGTGGAACAAGAGGATTACCTAGTGAAAGCATAAGACGTTGAGGAAAGTGAAAAAATAGAAAGAAAAAAAAATATAATGATTTTACAAATGATGAAATTAAAAATTTTAGGTAAGAAAATTAACATATAAAAATTAATTATTATATAAAAAAATATATTTAATAAAATGTTCAGCATATTTAACATTATTAATTTAATTTTGAAGTTTAAAAAATAAATTTTATTTCATTATTTTTTTATTTTAAAAATGACTTTATAATTTTTTTAGAATTTTAAAAATTTTATTTTGTATTTTAACATCAAATATCATAAAACATTAAAATAGTTAATTAATTTATAATAAATAAAAAAAATTATATCCATATTTCATACATTTATATTACATTATGCATACAAATTTATTATAATAATAAACAATAATAATAAAGAAAATATATTTATTTATTTATTTTATTTTTATAAAATTATTATGGAGTATCTCTTTTATATTTTTAATTTCTTGTCCTATGTTTTCAACGTGAACAAAAAAAATAAATAAATAAAAACTATAAAATTAGAGAAAAAATAACAATTTTTATGCTATAAAGATGAAATTGTAATAAAAAAAATTGAAAACTAAAAAGGAAAAACTTACACAGTTTTATTCTATAAGATGAAACCATGAAAGAGAAAATATGAAAGTGAATGACGTGTAAAAAAAAAAGATAGAAATATGAAAATATAAAGTGAGTGTGTAATAGACAAAGTTGAAATGGGAAGATGAAAATGTAAGAGAAGAAAAGATGAAAAATACGAAGACAGAAAGAAAAAAGAGAAAAAAAGTTAAAATGAGAATTTATGTAAGAAAATACATAACATATATATTATAAATAAATATTTAGGAGAAAAAAATAAAAAAATTTATTAGCGGAAAGGGGTTTAAAAAAATAAATATCAAGAGAGTATAAAAAAGAAGTATATTAAATGTAATTGTATTCAAAATAATAATTGATTTATACAATCACACTACTTAAATACTACTGACATAGTATTTATAATGAGATTTGTTAGGTTAACTAACATAACTGAAACAATCATTACAACCCCTAATTCAGCAATTGATTTAATATTTAATTTCTTTCTCAATTCTTTGAACCTTCGATTATTCAAAGGTTTCGTTATAATGTCCGCTAGCTGCTCCTTCGTGCTGCAATGTTTAAGGCTTAATTTCTTCTTCCTTACTTCATCTCTAATGAAGTCAAATTTCAATATGATATGTTTGTTTCTCCCAAGGACTACCAAACTCTCGATCACAATGCTTGACAAGTTGTGTAATCGTGTATTTAGCTTTACAAGAAGAGAGTGTTACAATAGGTTGTAACTTCGAGCACCATGAAATTGATGATTTTCCAATAGGAATACGTAACCTGATGTGCTTATGAAATCAATTTTATTTCCAGTCCAATCAGAATAAGAATATCCAACCAACTCTTCTCCATTCTGATGTGTAGCATTTGGTAATAAAATACCAAAATCAATTGTCCCTTTGTTGTACCTCAAAACTCTCTTAACTGCTACAAGATGTGATGTTTTGGGTTTATCCATAAATCTACTCAACAACTTAACACCAAAACAAATATCTAGTTTACTACAACATAATTATCTTAACCAGTCAACCATTTGTTTGTAAATTATAGCATTTACAAGTTTTTCATCTTCATATTTGTCAAGTTTCACATTTGTCTCAACTAGTATAATTGTCGTAATACCCTTACTCATTCTAAACTTTTTGAGAACTTCTTTGACATATTTACTTTGATGAATCAAAATATCTTTTTATGTTTTGGGTTTATCCATAAATCTACTTAGCAACCTAACACCAAAACAAATATCTGGTTTACTACAATATAAGTATCTTAATCAGTCAATCCTTTATCCGTAAATTATAGCATTTACAAGTTTCTCATTTTCATATTTTTCAAGTTTCACATTTGTCTCAACTAGTGTAATTGTCATAATACACTTACTCATTCTAAACTTCTTGAGGACTTCTTTGACATATTTACTTTGATGAATCAAAATACCTTTTTTTTCTTTCAATGAATTTCATTATAAAAAAATATGACAACTTCCCAAGATCGGTCATCTAAAACTGATTTTGCATCCTCCTTTTAAAATTATCGATCAACAAATCATCGACATACAAGCAAATAATTAACACATCATCTCCTTTGATTTTTGAGTAAATCTCATACTTAATTTCACA